AGGGAGACTTTTTATTAATCTCTTGCCTACACTTGCCTTGATAACTGAAGAGTTCATCTCTCCTGAGAATGGGAGACTGTTCAACTTTTCATTTTTAAATATTGAAATCACTGTAACATTCTGCTCTGACTACTCAGGAATAGAGACAGGAGAGATTAGTGTCACTAGGATATAGTTTTACTAGAGAAAATCATTTTAAATAGGCTTAAATCTTAGAAGCTGCTTAGACTGAAAGTGTTTGTGTCAGATTGGGTGGGATAATTGTGTGTGTATATGTGTATGTGTACGTGTGTGTGTGTGTGTGTGAGAGAGAGAGAGAACATGGCGAAGGAAATAAAAAGAGGGGGGAAGGGGGAAGAAGTTCTAAAGGCTTTCTTTCACTATGTACATGATCTGAATACTGAATATAGAGGCTGTTACTGGAGAGAAGATCTGAGGGAGAGGTCCTGGGCAGGGGGTGTAGGTGAGCACTAGAATGACTGCCTGGCATGCATGAGGCTTTGGGTTCCATGCTCAGCACTAAAAAAAAAGTTTTGTTTCTTTAAAAAAATTATCTTTACCCAGAAATGGAGAGTCAAAGAGTGAACACATGCTACAGTGGTACTCACTAGACATTATGTGGAAAATGAACTATACAACTTGTGGGTGAGTATGGGAGGGAAAGGGGGACATTGTCCACAAAGAAATGTACTCATTACGTGACCTATGTAACTATAACTCCGCTGTACATCATCTTTATAATAACAATAAAAGTTACCTTTTAAGTAGGTATACAAAGGAGTTGCCATTTAACAAAGAAGCTTATAGCTATGATATCTTGATCAGTGTCATTCCTTTAAAAAAAAAAGTCTTTCGTAGCCATTTCGATTATAGCCATAGCTTGTTGGATCTGGTATTTTTTCAGAATACTTTTTCCCATGCATTTTTAAAATTGTTATTATAAGGGGGGTTTATAGTTTTGTTATTATAAAGGGGGTTTATAGTTATGTAAGTCTGGTAAATGACCGTTGACTATTAACTAGCCACAGGTGTTTTATTTATTATTATTATTTCTCTGAGCTCATTGATTATTTTCTGTGACGTTGGTGTTTGAAGACAGAAGACAGGAGAGAATTCTGTTGCCTTCAGGATTAAAATCCAACTTCAAAGTCCCAGACCATTTTCAGTGTGGTTCTTACTTCCTCTTTCAGCCTCATCTCTTGATATCTCTTACATCTATCTTTTGCCCCAGAATTTCTGGCAAGATGTGGGAAGACCTTCTCAGGCCCACGTTCTGTACTGCATTTTTAGATAATACATGACTCCTCCAACAGTCTCTGTTGCCTTCTGCCTTTTTGCTTGGGTTTCCTCTGGTGGCATTGTGGTTGACTTGTGCTTTTGCTCTGGTGGAATGCTTTTGTCTCCATTTGCTGACACGTGCCCCGCTGTCTGTATTTCCCACTAGTCAGATCTAGTGGATAGAGATTCTTTCCTTTGCAATGGCTTCTAGCACTCAGTAGGACGCTTAGTATCTATTAGCTGCACAGTCAGCACAGTGAACAGATGAATGTGGCAAAGTTATGGGTTTATGATGCTGCCTGTGTTCAGCTTTTGTGTGTTTGGGTAAGTTGTCATTTCTCCTGTGTTTTATTAGTGTATATTAATAGCACAAAATAATGGGTTTTATTTGACATTTTCACTAATGCATATAACTACCTTGATCATAGTTATACTCTTTCACCCTTTCTTATTCCAAATAATCTCTCTTCTCTTCTCTTTGAAGGATTTGTACATGTTTCTTTTAGCATTTCTTTTTTTCTTTCTTTGTGCCAATCCAAGGGCTTAACCTCAGGGCCTGGGTGCTGTCCCTGAGCTTATTTGTTCAAAGCCCACTAAGAATCGCACAGACTTCCTGCCTGGTCTGGCTTTGAACAGCAATCATCAGATCTCAGCCTCCCGAGTAGCTTGGTTTACAAGTGTGAGCCATCTGTACCTTTCTCCCTTTCAGCATTTTGAATATATTATTTAGTTCTCTCCTGACTTGTAAAGTTTCTATTGAAAAGTCTACTGACAACCTTATGGAAGCTCCCTCTCTGGTATATGATGAACTGCTTTTCTGTTGTTTTCAGTATTCTGTCTTTGTGAGTTTCCTCACAGTGTGTCTTGGTGTGGATCTCTTTGGATACCAATTTGAGTTTGTTGAGGTTTTTAAATTTGTATCCTATGTCTTCTGTTGAGCTTAGGAAGTTTTGGTTGTTATTTCTTGATACAGGTTTTCTGCTCTGTTCTCATTTTCTTTTGAGACTCCCATAATATATATATATTGATCTCCTTGATGATGTCCCATAAATCTTAGTTCTTGTCACTTTTCTTCATTCTGTTTGTTTTTGCTTATCTGATTCAATTTTTTTGGTTCATTCTTTGTGTTTGTTTTGTTTTGTGTTTTTTTTTTTTATGTCGGTCATGGGGCTTGAACTCTGGCCTGGGCGCTGTCCTTGTGCTCTTCAGCTCAAGGTAAGTGCTCTATGGCTTGAGCCACAGCACCACTTCCTTGTTTTGTGTTTTTGTGGCAGGGTCATGCCAGGTAGCCCAGGCTAGCCTTGAACTTGATATCCTCCTGCATCACCCTCCAAAGTACAGATCACATAGATGTGATTCACTGAACCTAGCTAAATTTGTTGCTTCTTTCTATTTGATAAAGCTGCCATTTTTCAACACCTGAATTTTTGTTTCTTTTATTTTATTGTAAAGATGCTGTACAGAGGGGTTACAGTTACCTGAGTAAGGTATTGAGTACATTTCTTGTCAAACATTGTATGTTTTTAATGTTTCTTTTCTATTTCTTTTTCTTCATGCCATCATTTTCCTGATTTAATTTAATAATCTGTGTTCTTTTTTTTAGTTCACTGTTTTAAAGAAGAGTATTTGAAATATTTTGTCAGGAAGTTCATAGGTCTGTTTTTTTCTTTTTCTTTCTTTCTTTTTTTTTTTGTCCCTTGTGGAGCTTGAACTCTGGCCTGGGCACTGTCCCTGAGCTCTTCAGATCAAGGCTAGTGCCCTACCACTTGAGCCATAGCACCAATGGCTTATTGGAGATAAGAGTCTCACAGACTTCCAACCTGGTCTAGCTTTGAACCCTGATCCTCAGATCTCAGCCTCCTGAGTAGCTAGGATTTCAGGTGTGAGCCTCCTGCACTGGGCTAGATCTATTTTTTTTAGGCTTAGTTTCTAGATATTTGGTGTTATGGTTGGGTCATGTTTTCTTGTTTTGTTGTGTGTGTTGTATTCGTCTATTAAACTTTGGGCGTATGAAGAAAATCTGGCTCTCCCATTCTTTATTTACTGAGGAAGACCTTCACCAGTCAGCCCAGCTAGAGCTCTAGGGGCTTCTAACACATTTGAGGACCTGTCTTCCTTCTGTGTGATTCTTTCCACTCGAGGAAGTTTGCTCTATTTTCAAGAGCCATAATCAGTGATCCTTTTGGTAGTCTGTCCAAGGCACTGCAGGCTTTCTGATGTTACAACAAGTAACATGTTTGCTTTTACTCTGGTGGCAACGAGGCATGCCAAGTCTACTGCTTGCTGTTCCCCTTATGACTCTTGCTAAGTCAATGGCTTAGGCCTCCCCCTTACAAAGCCAGAATGTGGATGTACGCTAATCTCTTCTCTTTCTGTCCTGATGGAGAAGCCAGAGGCTAGGAGTTTTTCTCCTAATTGTGCAATGCTGTTTTGGTTAGGAGAAGGTTACCTTGGGTGCATGCAACAGACTTGATTATGTTTTGATGCAGCTCTTCTTGGCTTTTGTATTCACCTGGGGTGCTGACACTTCTTAATTGGTTTTTGGAGTTCTTGCAAAGGCAATTTGGTTTCGTATTTCTGTTAAGTCAGTGTCTCCATTGGGGAAGGAGGGCTGGGGCTTCCTGTTCTGTGTCTTACTTATGTCATTCTCAAGTGTAGTTGAAATCTCTGTCTTATGAGATGGATATAATTAATTTTGATAGAAATTTGATAACTAATACTGGTGGGGATGGCAGCACATCTGTTCTCTCTCATTCTCTTCTTTAGTCAAGGATTAAAGAAGTCATTCCAGATTTCTGACAATATTATCTCCTGTCTTTGTCTGCTTGTCTGCTTTAGTATCAGAAGCTAATGTTTCATAAATGCAAGTTATGTCAGTCATTCCTATATTTCTATTACATGTACTAATTCCCTGTTCATAATAGGTATAAAAAGGAGATACTTGCTGTGATTATTCCTATTTTATATGTGAGAAAAATGAGTCACAGAGAATCTAAATAACTAACCCAAGCTCATAAGGCTGCTAAGTGTCTAAGATTATGTATATATGTATGTATATACACATACATACATGTATACATACATACATACATGTATGCATGTATGTATCTTTATCTATGTATTTATCCATTCATCTATCTATCCTGGGAGATGGACTTCAAGGACTTGTACTTCCTTGCTATGTAGGCACTCTACCATGAACAGCTGAGTCAACAGCTTTGTCTTTTAGTTACTTTGGGATAAGTCTTTTGGTTTTGCCCAGGCTAACTTGAACCATGATTCTTCTGTTATGTTTTCTATCTAGCTGGGAAGACAGGTAGATACCACCATGCCTAACCACCAGATCCTTATTGGTTGAACTCCTACTGATTTGTTGAAATCCCACTAACTTTTTGCCAGGTATTACCTTCCACCATGATCTTTATAATCTCTGCCTCCTGAGTAGCTGGGATTGTAGGTGTGTACCATTGCACCCTGGCCCTTCACATTCAGTAGTGAAGGAGTACTTTACAGCACAAAATGGATATTCTTTAATTCATGATTATTGTTTATTAAACTGTGAGCCATTTTAAAATAGTATCTATTGTTGCAATAGACAATTATGATGGATATTATTTTTTGTGTATTGTAAGTTGGAATTGTGTTGCTAGAATATCTATAATTTATATTTCCAAATGTAGTAACCTCCACATTATATTTTTAATTTTATTTCTTTTTTTTAGGACAGAGTTTACTCAAAGAGGGAGAATTTCCATCACAGGGGCTGGATTTCTCAACTGTATTTTGGAAACTTTTGCCAGCACATTCTTAAGACAGGGAGCCCAGAAGGTAAGCTTGCTTTCACTTTGAGCCAACATTCATTTTAAGAGACAGTAATGAATAAGATATAAAAAGATACACAAGAAGAAAAATCTGGTTAATAGACAAATATATCCAAAACCAATTCTTCTTAATAATTATTATTAAATGCAAATCAGGGTAAAACTCAAGCACTACTTCTGGCCCATTAAATTAAACATATGCCAATGAAGAATAGGTGATAGCATGTTGAATACTTATAGCTTAATTACAAGAAATAATCAGAATAATTATGTTATATGAATATAGCAACAGTTTAATAGAAAAGATAATTGCTAATGTTTATAGAGTGTATACTATTTAGTACTGAATATTGGAAGAATTTTTACTTAGTTTTTCTTGGGTTCTCATAAGGATTTGAAGTAGATATTGCCATCATGTAGCCTGGATAAGAAAAATATTGAGACATGTCCATTCTATTTTTCCCCCCAGACCTAGGGCTTGAACTCAGGTACTATCTCTGAGCTTCTTTTGCTTTAGGCTGATAGTCTACCACTTCAGCCACAGTGCCACTTCCGACTTTTTCTGTTTATGTGGTACTGAGGAATCGAACCCAAGGCTTCATGCATGCTAGGCAAGCACTTTACCACTAAGCCATCTTCCCAGTCCATGGCTATTCTTATAGTTTGTAGAAGAAACTAAGGGCCTCTGTGATGGTGCTTCAGAGACCCTTGGATGGTTCTGATGCTGGTATATCATGTTTTATGTAGATCTTTTCTCTTTTCTCTGTCTTATATGGTAATATACAGGACATTTAACTATCCTATATTCTTGCACTGGCATTATTTTCAGTGTATTCTTTATGCATGCTTATATGCCTACTACAGTGCTGAGTATGTTTCTATATTCCTAGCTGAATTTGCATCAATAATAATAATATAATATGCAATTTTATAAAATAAGCCTATGCATCTTTTGGGGGAAGCAATAGCATTTAAAAGCCAAATTAGGGTTCAAGGTTTTTCTTATCAAATTGATTACAAGTGTTCTCTTATGAAAATCATTTAATCTGATTGGCCTTATAAAAACAGACAGAGTTTGTCTGAGTACTATGGTTTGCCAGCTTACACTTTAGATAGATAAATATTGCTCAGTTAACATAAGCACGTCTGCATTTGATATGCCCATCAATCTCAACCTCTTAATGATTTTTAATCATATAGTGATTGTGTACATGTTGACTCCATGAGATACGAAAGTGATTCACTTTCTCATTTTATTAATGACAATTGACTTGAAGAGTTAAGTGTGCTCAATATGTAACGGCTTGTGTACTTATTCCCAAATCCATCTTGAACACCCGCTCTGTGCTAGACATGTACTGCTAGTGGGCTAAATTGATTGCCCAAGTCGTAGAACTGGACTCTAAACTCACTCCCCCATCTTCCCTTAACAAGACTTACCTCCTGACCTGCTGTTCTACTGGATAGCCCTCCGTTGACTGACAGAAACCTTACCTTCTCAGAACTAAGGCTTTCACAATCCTATTGTGCATTATGTGAATGTGTGGTGGCTTTATGACGCTTGTATTTGTTGGGATTCTTTGGCTTCAAGTAATGGAAACCACTTTAGGCTTGCTTCTTGTACAGCTCCAAGAGTGGCAAGATTGGCAGGCTTCAGGAAGATTGATGACCTGAAAGCTGCCAACCACCTACATGGGATTCCATCTTCAGTTCTTCTGTAAAGTAATGTGTCTCCTTCTCTGAAGTTTTGTCATCTATGCTTTTGAAGCTATATATAGTGGGATGTGAGTCTTCGCTGTCCAAGTGGATATTTTTTATATAGAGTGTTGGTGAAATCACGTTCACCATGGATCAGAGTTGAGAGTTACTCTCGGATAAAGAGCAGATGAGAGGGGTAAATGTTTCTGAAGTCTTCTTTTTCTCCAATGTTTCTACACTGTGTGTGTGTGTGTGTGTGTGTGTGTGCGCGCACGCGTGTGCAATTTTTTTTTTTTTTGTCGGTCGTGGGGCTTGAACTCTGGGCCTGGGCGCTGTCCCTCAGCTCTTCAGCTCAAGGCGAGCACTCTACCACTTGAGCTACAGCACCACTTCTGGTTTTCTAGTGGTTTATTGGAGATAGGAGTCTCATGGTCTTTTCTGCCCGGGCTGGCTTTGAACCGAGATCCCCAGATCTCAGCCTCCTGAGTAGCTAGGATTACAGGCATGAGCCACCAGCGCCTAGCTTTGTGTGTGTGCAATTTAAAAAAATTAATTTAAATTTTTTTTGTGCTGGTCCTGGGGCTTGGACTCAGGGCCGGGGCCTTGTGTCTGAGCTTTTTTGTTCAAAGCTAGAGATCTACCACTTGAGCCACTTCCAGTTTTTTTGGTTGTTAATTGGAGGTAAGAGTCTCATGGACTTTTTCCTACCTGTGCTGGCTTTGAACTGTGATCCTCAGATCTCAGACTCCTGAGCAGCTAGGATTGCAGGCAAGAGCATTGGTGTCCAGCTAGTTTCATTAATCTGAATCCTAATTCCTAACCTGTAGTACCTTGGACAGTGTTCAATATATTTTGTGCCAAAATGAAGAGAAAAGAAGAGAAAGGAAATATTTACAGTGAAGTCCATACTTGGTTTCTGATGAATATTAACTGGATTAAAAAAAATCAAGCCAGGGACTGGTGGCTCACACCTGTAATCCTAGCTATTTAGGAGACTGAGATCTGAGGATCACAGTTCGAAGCCAGCCTGGGTAGGAAAGTCTGTGAGACTCTTGTTTCCAATTAACCACTAGAAAACTGGAAATGGCACTATGGCTCAAAGTGATAGAGCACTAGCCTTGAGCAAAAATGTTCAGGGACAGTGCTGGGCCCTGAGTTCAAGATTCATAACTGAAAAATGAAAATCAAGTGACTTTTTTTTTTTGTCAGTTGTGGGGTCTGAAACTCTGGCCTGGGTACTGTCCCTTAGCTCTTCAGCTCAAGGCTAGTGCTCTACCACTTGAGCCACAGCACCACTTCTGGCTTTTTCTGCTTATGTGGTGCTAAGGAATCAAACCCGGGGCCTCATGCATGCAAGATAAGCACTCTACCACTGAACCACCTTCCCAGCCCCTCAAGTGACTTTTTAAAGTGACAAATTCCAGTGATTCCTGTTTATTCTATTTTTCTTACTATGCTCAGAATATATTTTTTCCTACTAGCTTTTGCCTTTTCCTAATTTTACTTTTTCTTTCCAAAAAGGCTAAGTTTAATTAGCTTTTCAGGTTTAGAAGCCACTCATGCTAAAGTGTCTTTTCTCTTGTATCCTGGGGAGATGTTTCCAGTACTAGCCTGACTTCCTGAAAACCTTCACAGCTGAGCCTGCATAAATGGCTTTAGCAGGTGCCCCTGAGAATGTGTTAGGTGATTTTATTTTCACTTTAGGACTTTATCCCTGAGGCTGTTTAGTAGTGGTAAAGATGAGCTATGATAGCTATCTTTTCTTTGTTTCTTTTTTTTCCTGTAAAGGCAAAACTAGGCATTCACAAACTATTGTACCGTGTTGTTTGTAAATTATAATCTGGCTCTAAGTACGGATTCTCAAACTGAAGTCACTTGTGTGGCTCTGGGGACTTGTTCAATTGCTTCTGTTTCTTTCCCTTTACTGTGAGGGAGCTTGCAAGTCACAGACCTTTCTGACTCACATGGCTTTTTACACACCTGGTACCTACTTGCCTCTTGGATTAGACCTGTGTGGCCAACAGATTTCCCTTGGGTAGTCTGGCTGGCAGTTGTGCCCCAGGAATAACAGCAGTTCTGAACTTACTTCCTCCCTTTGCTTTTGTGACCCTGGTACAAGATTCTGTAGCCCCTCGTCCTGTGTTTGTTCATCCACAAAAGAAGAATCCTAATACAGTGCCACACATATGTATGTGTGAAAGTTATTTTTTGATAAATTGAAAAACCCAGAACAAGTATACAAAACATATTCTCTCTCTTTTTTTTGTGTGAAGGAAATAAAGTTCTTGTTTCCATTTTCTAGCATATTTGCTTTAAGTATTAAAAAAATCCCCATAACCTCCTTTTTATAATATTTTCTTTTTCTTTTTTGGCTGTTTTGAAGATAGTGTCTGACAGGCTGGCCTCAAACTTTTATCCTTTGGATTACAGTCTCCTGAATAGCTAGGATTTCAGGCATAAGCTATTAACACCTGGTTGTCATACTTCCTTTTTGTTGTTCTGTTTTTTTCCTTTCACAGTCATGTGAACATATATAATGTACACAACTGGAATTTTAAATTCATTTCAACTCCATAAGGACTTTTCCCATACCAGTTGTGTGCCAGACACTGGGTAGGATACTGGAGAAATGTGTAGGGATAAGATAAATAGATTGGTTTATGCAGCTTTGACACTGGGACATCTAGCCCTGGGTGGTAAGCATGACATACAATGAGTATAGATGTCAACTGATGCTGGAAACATGGAGCCCTGCCTGGTGCTCAGTGCTGGCACTGTGATCACTGCTGCAGAAGGAATTATGATACAGCTCCTGCTTAGAAGGCTTTAGTAGATCGAAGCACTGTGCTTATCACCCATTACCTGGTCTGCTTTGCTGGAGAAGAATTGTTTTCCTTATATTCCAGTCTTATGTATAGGGAAATGGAAGACCCAAGTGGCAACACAGTTTTCTCAGGGTAATAGAATTTGAAAGTGGTACAGTAGAATTCTAACCAAAGTCAGCCTGACTCTGGAGTCACTCTTGATTCTGTTTGAGGCACAATCTCTGCACTGTAGGCATGTGTGTGCTTGATTCAGCGAACGCTGTACAGTGAGGATGAACAAAGGTACAGCTAAGGATCTCAGTTATGATGGGGGAAGTTAGAGTAGGGCAGAGGAATGGGGGCCATACTGCTTGGATGGGCCATTGTGTACTTAGCATGTCCTGCCTTATGTTTGGAGCCCATGGCCTCTGATATTGTCCAGATGACAGGTGCTCTACATTCCAGACTGGCACAGGCTGAGGAGATAGTTACTGACATATCAATC